GAGTGATCATATTTTTAAATATGTTATTTGTTTATCTCTTAAGCATATAAAATTAAACAATAATTTTTATTTACATTTAAAACATTAATTTTATTTTTGCTATTTACTGAATAATTCTCTAATTTACTAAAAAAACTTAAAGCAGTTTGTTATTGATTTTATATCAACATTTATAATAGTTTGTATAAAGGCATTTCGATTCTATTGGTTCTATTAATTAAATTTCAAAAAATAGTTAAAAGAACATAGCAACAAGAGTAAACAATTAAAAATATTTTTTTTTATTGAAATATAGTTTATTTTGGCCCATAAAATATTATTCCATGCTGTTATAAAACTAATATAGCTTTATTTTGCCAAAAATTATTTTCATTTATACGAATTATTAAGAAAATAAACAATTCACTTGTTTAAATGCACAGAAGTACCTTTGTGAAATCATTAATGATCACACTTTCGTCAATATAAATTTAATTTTTGAATATATGTATATTGTATTAGTTTATTTAATACTAGATTATATTAGTGATTATATATATATATATATATTATATATATATATACACCTATGATGTTTTATGCAAATAGTAACAGTTGTTACTACCATCGAATTTAATGTATCCATGAATGTTACATTTTATAAATAACGATGTTACAGGCTTTTCTAAGTATTTTGCAGAAACATCGTTAAAATTAGAGAAAACTATAGAATTTTTATGGTAATCTTAATACGTAATAGATTTCTAAGATGCATAGTTTGTATGTTTATTGATAAAGAATCCTATGAAAAAGTTTTTTAAAAAATTGTACGCTACGATTAGAAAATCATTCATCTGATTAATGTGTAATATTTAACAAAATTTTCTTTATAAATAGAAATATTTCATGAATAATCATCCTAAAGAAATGTAAGATCAGAAGGCAAGGATGACAAGATTAACATTTATCTACCAAATAAGTTGTGTAAAAAAGAATTAAATAGAATAAGGAAATGTTAATCCGTCTATAATTATGTCTTCTGTATTTAAACATACGGAGGTACTAAGTAAAAGAAATTTAATTTACTGAATTAAGTCATTCATACTAATTCTAATTCTGATGAAAAAATAATTCTGACTCTTAGAAATTGTGTACATTATATTAAAGGAGGCAGTGCCTTTACAAACCCTAATACTTATTTTGAAGAGATACCTGTGCTACTTATTCTAATTGTAAGATATATGCATCTAATATCAATTAGAATTAATATAAGTAATCATTTAGTTAGGATTATTTCATTACAGTTACTGACAGTGATAATATATAAACATGAACATGTAAAATTGTACAAACATTTTGAAGTAGAACTAATTTTTTAAAAATTATTATAAGATATAGGTGTATGTTATATATTATATAATTACGCAATTATATATTATATAATTATATATCTATACGCTGTTATGAAAGTGTTACCTTTACATGCAGTTTATATATTTCTTACTGCATATTATAAATCACTGATTGTGCATTTTTTATTCATGCAACTAAATGGTACGTATTGAATTTGAAAAGATTAGAAAATTCAAGAATATTTTAAGTAATTCTATAATATATTACCAAGGACAGTTGCATAGATATTAAGTAAGCATAGATTAAGATCACATGCACAAATACTGAAAATCTTGACTGTCTCGGGCAATTGTGATATTAGTATAAGACTATCAAATATATAAATATTCGTAATTAGGGTAATGAATATTTTTTTAATGAAGTCTTAACTTAAGAACAAATATCATATAAGCTCAATGAATTACTAAATCTTTGCCATCAATTATATCTTTTGTTATTTCTTTGATTATATCGAATAATATGCTTCATATCTTAACTTCAGAATTATTATTATTCAATGTATATGCTTTTTTGCGTTGGGTTATAGGATTTCATAAACAATGCAACAATAATAGTTTGTTTTTATATTGATGTAAAATATTCTATGCATTGTTGCATATTGATATCATTTTCATGGATTCCCACCGCGACTAATAAAAATTACACAGAATTCTTTAATAATTATATGTTATTCATTTTCCTAGACCACATTTATCCCTCTTACCTATATATTTTCTCTTGAAAGATAATATTTATATTTCAAACACATCGTCTCGTTTAAAAATCAATTTTTATTATTTAAAGATAGTCTAAATGAACGAACGATAAAACTTTCATTAAAAAACAATTACGAAAATAAGTCATTAAAAGAAACAAATAATATAAAATGTTTAATTATTTTGTTATTTATTATAATAAATAACCATTAGCTCAATACTATTTGCGACGAAATCTATATTATGTAAGATGTAATGTATATTGCATTGATAAAAATATCGATTTCCCAGGTCTCACTAGTCGAAGGTTGCAGTTTCTGGAAACTTGCAAAAATGATCTTTTTATATTTATTTGATACATCATATTATGTATATATTTATGTTACGGAGTTAATACATTCATAATTTAGAAAAATAAATATCATTGTAATAATTATAATCATTAACAAATAGAGACTAATATTGTATTTCAAATTTTCCCACCAAATGTTTAAATTACGCGCGAACAAATATATTGACAAATCAAATACTTACTTGTTTAAATACTCGAAAAATATCAAAATTTATTTTAATTTGTATGTACAAATAAGTATTTAATAATAATTAATTAATATTTTTAATGAAATGTAAATGTTAATTAATTAAATAGGATTGAATTGCAATCGAGACTTTTTTGAAAATTACGCGCGATATTTAAAAACGAGTTATAGGTGGAAAAATCATATTTTGAAATATTTGATGAAAGAATAAAAAGTTTTAATATATATTTAGACATTAATGATTGATATAAATTCTGAAAAGAGTTATCAGCAACCTACCTTTTGAAAATAATTAGCACATGTTTCTCGCCTTGCTCTTATTTACGGTGCTACCATTTTTTTGTTTATCTGCACATTTCTTAATTGATGCCATTTTTTTATTACCGATGGCGTAACGCTAAGCGATAACAATTTAATATTTCAGAATTACTTAATACATATAATATATATATATATATATTACTTGGATTATTATTAATTTTCCATGTGTATGTATATACACACACAATATTTTTGTATTGAAATAATTATATACTGGTATAAATAATATAATAAAAAAAAAATTTACGGCAGGCGTTTATTACATGAAATAAGATACCATAATTAATATTAATAGGACTATTTTTTTCTAATCTAAACAATTTTTCGTTCCTTTTTTTCGTTTTTTAAATAAGTATTTAAATAAACATTAATTTAATTTTTACGATTTTAATATAGCTTTTAACAACAATATTACGCAACTAACATCGCGGAAATGATAAAACAAAAAAGAAATATTTATATATGTATGTATATACGTAGTAAACTATAAATTAGAGACAATAAAAATAAATATAAGCACATACGTATATGTTAGCAATACAGTTGAAATTTTATATCAATTGTGTTTTAGCAATTAATATAAAATAGGGATATACACAAGGTTTTATTACAACTAATAGTGTTAGAAAAATAAATAACAATAAGGCCATATTTATATACATAAAATACACGTCAATAAGCACAAAAGAGAAAAAAGAAAAATTGGTAATGATAAAAAAAGGTTTTATCGAAATTGGAACAAATAAAGCATCAAATTTCAATACTTTTTCTTACATAAATAACATTACATGACTACATTTGCAATTTTTACTGAATCATTCTTTTGTGTGTGTGTTTACAGTCGAGAAACAGATCAACGTGCGATTCATTTTTTTTTTTTTATAATATAACATGTCACATTCGTTACAATAATTAAATCGCATGGGTATTTTTTTTAATTAGATTTAACTAATAATAGAATTAATTGTTTAATTTATGTATCATTGTACTTTCATTCAAAAGTAACCCGTTTGACTCCGTTTACTTATTTTTTTTTTCTTTTTTGAAGAATAAGAAGAAGAAGAAGAAGAAGAATATACGATCTATCCACATAATGCAACAGCAATTGTACTTTGTACGAAATGGTTATATAAAGAAAAATAGTTATTTTCGCGCGTGTGTATGTGTGTGTTGTCTCTGTATATCTTTTTCTTATTTTAATTTTAATGTTTAAATTGTTTTAGATAAAATTGAATTCGCATATAATTCGCTAAATTATAGAAAAGCCTATAGTGTATTGTTTCTTTTTATTTTCTTTTTTATTTGGACTTCGAAATTGATTAATCAAATACATATTTGAATCAATTTGCTACAATCGATATTTTGTTATTTGTTCGCTATAATGTGATTCTGAAATAATAGTTATAATAAAAGTAATAATAATAATAATAATATGGAATGTTCGTTAATCTCGCTAGTATGATGATGATCATGTTAAAATCTTTCAAGCACGAGCGATAATTAAAATGCAATTAATCTTGTTGCATTTTTTTTATTTTTTTTTTATTAGCAGTTTGCGAACGTTTTAATCAACAGAAACGACATTTTATTTTATTATTAAACGTGCTATTAAACGAATATTTTTATCGTTTTTTTTTTAATGTGTAAGTCCGTTCTTTGACATATTTTGTTTAAAATAACATCGGACGATCATATTTTTCTTTTTCTTTTCTTTATTGTTTTTTTTTCTTATTTTTTTTTCTTTTTTTTTCTTCATTGATGAACTCTCGCGATTTTATAAATACTCTCCACAAATATATTTCATTAACTTAAATAAAATATGAAATCATTTGTACGATAGAAATATCGATTATTTGTTTTCATTTCAAACGAAGAACATTATAAGATAAAATAAAATTAGTTTTCGATAGTAACGACCATTTGTAATTGAGCAAAACAAAAAATAACTTAAAAAAAAAAGAAAGAAAACCAATAATATATATATATTATATTCCGATACTCTTTTTTAAAGAGCCCCCCGATCGACGTTCAATAATTATGCATTCTATTTTCGTTATTATCGTTGCCAAATTATTGGCTCTGATATATTATAAACTTTTGTAACAATTTAACATATTTCTATGGAGAAAAAGAAGCCCCAAATTCTATTTTGACTATAAATTTTTTTTTTTTTTTAGCTATGGACGTTCTTTTATTTTCTTTTTATTTTCAATTTATATAAAATTCGTCAAGATAGTTTTAACAACGTAATTACTTAAGGTAGTTTAGATTTTAACAATTAAAATCTTCTATGAAGAATAATTGCTCCTAAGTTTGGACCAAACGAGACACATCGTCCTAACAATTAAATTTGAGGTGAGACGAAGTGGTCTCACTTAGTTAATCACATTTCGATCGTTAAACCCTAAGAAGATATATCTGAATAAGGTGATGTATTTGTGTATGTGTATATATGTGTGTGTGTGTGGGTATATCGCATAGGCACGCGCACGCACGTGCATTGGCGACAAGTATAGAATAAACTCGCTTTTTTTTTTCTTGTGTACAAGTTTATAAACGACTTAATGCGATCAATGGTCGTTAAACTTATCGAATCGTAGGAAAGAAACTACCAAATCAGATTTGGCCGTCTACATCTACTTGATATCGAAGCGTAAGATATTGAGCAACGTCAGTCATCCTGTTGATGCTACGATGAAGTCCTCGTAAATGATGTTTGAAATTGTTAGCAAATGAATTAGCTAGATCGATGCACTCCTCGTTCTCAAGACTGGAATCATTTTCAACTCCAATTTCGGACTCGGAATCGGATGATAGAGAAGATGCAATAGAAGATGCGCTTTGTATACTTTGCATCGAGGTAGTACTTGGACAACGTGCGTGTCCCAATCTGTTAGCAGTTTCTGTGCTGGTTTGATAAGCTAGAACTGATTTATCAGCATCTTCATCTTCTCGGGGTTGTACGCGATCTTCTTTGGACCAAAGTAATTCGACTTTCATTTGATTAACGATGTGATACAAACGATACAAATCCGTATTGGCTAACGTTTCTTTAACGTTATTACCAGCTTTCAAACGAATCGTATCACCAGCATCGCCTACTGTCAAATCCAACAGTCTTCTTGGTATTAAAATCGTTTCTTCCATTTCGCTAACAGTTTTGACGAATCTTTCCATGCTGTTCAAAATGCTGGCGCAACTAAACTCTGGTTCGTCATGTCGTGCGATTCTACGAAGACTCGTCCTGTAACACGAAACATAATTATCCTATTACTTACTTACATCTTTGCTTTTCAAAGGGAGCAACGTTCATTGTAATTTAACTCGCACATATCTTCCACACTCATATACAGATCACACATACACGCCTGATAAAGAGCTTCAAATTGAATGATATTCTTCTACCACCACTATGAAGATCATTCTTTTATCGTTTTTTTTTTTTAAAGAGAGAGAAAGATTATCAAAGAAAAATAATATACATACTGCCTGTGCAACATTTTGAATTCTTGGTCTTGTATACACACGAATGTTAACAATTTATCTAAGTTATGATAATATTAAAATGTTCTATTACTATCTATCGTTAAATCAAAATTAACTGTAATTTCAAGCGACGCGTGTCGTGTTTCCTCAAACGTTGAAAGCGAATAACTAACTAAACTTGATGGAAGAGCATTAACTTCTTTTACATATAAACATATACATATGTAACATGCGCATAATTATTTAATTCATAAATATTTCAAACATATTTAAATCTACATTTGTTTTTAGTTATCCCACGGTTTTTATTAATATTCATTGTTAAACTATATAAACGATTGTTTTTATCGTTAAATTTGAGAATGTGTAGGGAACTAAACAACAGACATATTGTATGATAATTCAAGTGGAAAAACATTTTTCTAAATTTCCTTACGAATTGCGTATTCGATCGAAATGAAGGAAAGGGGAAAAGAATGTTAGAGAGGCAAGGTTTAGGTAGGAAATAAGGAACAGCTATTGACGATATATGTAGTGTATAGGTTGCGTGTTCCGGAGTCACCTTTGACCGAAGTTCGCGCCTTTTACGAATAAAAATGAACGTCATTGGTCGTAGTTTTTAAAACTGATGTTCTTTTTTATCTTACATAATAAATCGATAAATCGACTACTACCTAGTACTCTTTTACATGTGTTAAATAAGTATATACGTAGATATGAAAGTTTGAATTACATTCCTACGATCCTATTTGTCTCTATCTTTTTTTTGTACTTCATTGACTTTGACCTTGTTCATTCTTTTATTCGTCTAAATATTATATGAGAATTTCACTTGTCGCCTGTTACCAAGAATTTTATATTTCTCATAATATTAGATGAGTTGATACTTTTTATTTTACATATTTTGCGTTGTATTTTTGATCATCATCATTATCATCATTATAGTATACCTTTCTCTTTAAATTTTTTTCATTTAATGTAGTATTTCAAGGATAAATCTAAACTTCATAATTTGGCTGTCGAATAACACTATAAATTTCCGAGTTTATTAAAAGAAGTAATAGAGTAGTAGTAGTGGTAGTAACAGTAGTAGTAATAGTAGTAGTAGTGGTAGTAACAGTAGTAGTAATAATAGTAGTAGTGGTAGTAACAGTAGTAG